TCGGCCGGGTCTGCAGTAGCGGCCCGTGGTCTCTGTGTGTTGCTCTGGTCACGCGTGAAGCGAGCATGTGCGTGTTTCTCACACGGGTCACAGGAGTCCCTTACGTTCCGGATGCTTTCCCAGTCACTGGCGTCCAGGGCAGCCCGTCGTCGTCTCTCCACGGGGCTTCGATGACGGGCAGGGAGGTCCTCCCTGTCATGCAGGGGGAGTGCTCCCGGCTGCTTTCCTCCTGGCTTGTCCCCCTGGGCTCTGTGGGCGGTCCGTCTGTGGCCTGAGGCCGCACGGATGTTCTCCCGTGCTGGGCTTCCCAGTCTCTGTGTTTCATTCGGACGGTGCTGCTGTCCCTGTAAGGTTTCCAGTCCACCTGGAGTTTTTCATGTAAACAAATGTTCACAGTCTATCGACACCTGGTAAGTGTGTAAAGTGCACACTGAACATGTCCAGCATGTGTGCGCCTTGACGCTGCCATGCGGTGCAGACCGTGAGCCACTCACTGCCCCAGCGCCCCTCCCCCTGCTCCTGGCCAGCACAGACTGCTGTCACTGTCGGGTAGGCGGCAGTTCCTAGCATTTTACATACACACAGACTCACAGGACGGCTTTTTCCACGGGGCACAACTCTTGAGCGGCTCCTGCACGTTGGTCCGTGTGTCAGCAGGTCACTGCTTCCTACTTCTGAGCAGCGTGGCGTTGTGAGATGCCACCGTTTGCCCAGCCATCCGCCCGGCGGTGTGTTACTGTGGCTTGGCCCTGGTGTGGGTGGTTACAGGCGCAGCTGCTGTACACACGTGTGTACACATATGTCTTTCTGTGCAGCCGTGCGCTCGTGCCTCCTGGGAGAGCTGTGGCGGCTCCTGGGCTGGGTGTCTCCCCAGTGCTGGGGACAGGATGGTCCTGCCATTCTGTAGCTCTGTGTGCCGGGCATGAACAGGCTTCGGGCCCTTCTGCCGGGCCTCCTCACAGCTCTTCACGTGAACGCGTCTTCCGCCGACTGCTCCCCACACCGTGTCCTGGCGTGCGGGGACGGGCTGCTGGGTGCGTCTCCTGAACGGGGCTCTGTTCTCCTCAGCTGAACACCACCGTCATGTCCAATGCCACGGCCAACAGCAGCATCCGGCCTGCCTTTGGGGGAACGGTCTACCACTCTCCGGTGTCTCGGCTTCCACCTTCCGGCAGCAAGGTCAGTGAGCCCTGTGCACAGGCACGTCCCCGGCACCGCCCCAGCCTCTCTGTCCGGGGCCCCCGCCCTGCTGCTTCCAGTCCCTGAGAGCCCTGGGTTCAGTTACCACCGAGACGCTGAGGGATGACAGATGGAAGCTGGTTCATCTAAACAACCCAGTGGCAGAGAGAAAGACGGAGGTGGTCACACCGAGCCCCACTGGTGTCGTAGGGAAGCCCTGGGATGGGACTGGGCAGCGGAAGAGAGGGGCTGGTCCCCGGGGCCCAGTCCAGAGCCAGGGCTTCAGCTGCTGCTGTGCAGGGCCCCGCAGGGCCCCGGTCCCGGCGTGCATCACCAGACAGGCGCTCACGTAAGGAGACCGGACCGGTGGGCAGTCTGCGCTACGTGTGTTCAGTTGTCCAAGCATTTTCCAGATGACAAAATTCAAGATCAGTGCTCTACAAATCATTGTTACGTTTTCTTTTCGCATCAGAAGTGCTACATAGGGTTAGAAGCACATGAGTAATAAGACGGTGTCGCTCTGTGTGGTCATCACAACACGTCGATCCATCCTTTCTCTGCAGCCCGTCCTCACTTCCACCTGCTCAGGGAAGAAGAAAGCGCGTGCCGCCCTCCGTGGAGCCGACAAGGAGAACCTGGAGCTCAACGGCAGCTTGCTGAGCGGTGGGTACCCCAGCTCGGCCCCCCTCCAGCGCAACTTCAGCATTAACTCTGTTGCCAGCACCTATTCTGAGTTTGCGGTAATTGACCTTTTCTGACATCTGCCAGTCTCTGGGGAGCACACAGTGGGGCAGTGGGTGTCAGCCCAGGGGCACCCAGGCGCTCGGCACAGGGTTTGGGGGCTGAGAATCCCTTTCCTGCCTTCACCGCGGCGTGGGGCAGGGCGGGGAGGGTCCGTGGGCGTGCGGAGCAGGGCAGCTGGCGGCAGCACGGGACGGGAGGCTGGACCCCCGCTGACGCGATACCGGCCCCTGGCTGCGGGAGGCGAGCCTTCTCCTCACTGCCCTGTGCGCTCTTGGTGTTCTTGGTAATTGTCTCAATTCTCTGTTCTTAGAAGGACCCGTCCCCCTCTGACAGCTCCACTGCCGGGCTTCAGGTCTGTGTGGCAACCCCTGCGTGTCTCATGTCCCCTTTGCAAACCCACCTGTCGCCTGCTGGCTTCCTTCCCACCTGGGCACAGGGCTGCACCATCCCGCTCACGAAGGGGGCAGGGCTGCCGGGCCAGACTGCGTAAGCAGCAAACGTCTGGCTTGAGTTCCCAACGTGCTCAGCTGCTGATTAACAAGAAAACGTGTTCAGACTTGCATTGGATTCTCAGCCCTACTAAGGTCAGGCAGAGTTTTTGTATAATTTCACAATAGCTCACAACAGAAAACTCGCACGATCCCTGACGGTGACCGCAAAGGCCGCCCCTGTGCGGGGAAGAGCGCCCGTCCCCAGGGAGGGGCCCCGGCTGTGTGCTGCTTCTCGTGATTCCCCCGGACAGTGTGCCCCCTGGCCCTCGGCTGAGCGCCGCCTCCTGTCCTCTCGGAGCTCGGGCGCTGCCTCCTCGTCTTTGCCTGTTGCTGCCGCTTGAGCTGCCGGAGCCTGTATGAGGCTGTGGGAGAGCCTCATATACTTTCTAGAATGCTCCTCAGCTCCTGGTATCCTACTCCGTGCTTACCGACACCTAACTGCTGTGCTCTTCACCTGCTGGGCGCTCTCCCCCCAGTGTCTTCCTGGTGAGGTGAGCCGCCACCGCCCGGGGGATGCTGAGGCACAGGCCAGGGTGCGGCTCTCCTCGCCGCAGGGACGGAGTGCGGCCCCGTCGTCCCGGCTGCGGGCACTTGGAGTGCCAACGTTAGCTTCGCAGCACGGCACTTCTCACATCCCACGACCGGTGCAGCTCCAGCTGTGGGTGTGTGCATGCTGCTTTGGCTGCCTGATGGCTGCACTGAGGGTCCAGGTTTCTTTCTTTTTTCCTTTTTTTTTCTTTCTCTTTTTTTTTTCTTTTTTTTTTTTTGGCTTGCTCAGTCAAGCCCCATTTCATCCACCTGGACCTTAAATGTTACCTGCTTACCTCCGTGATGGCACCTGAGGCAGCTCGTGTGGTTTTGGTGTCTGGGTGGCAGGCCCCACCAGACCCCACCGAAGCCAGTGACTAACCTCTGCTAACACCTGTCCTTCCCGCGCAGTCCCCCGCCCCGTGCCACGTGCTCCGGCAGCTCGTGTCGCCAGCAGGTGCAAGGCCTCAGCCCCAGGGACTGGTAGATTCCTGGTCTGGCCAGGGGCTTCTCACTGTCGGGCTCTGCAGAGCAGCCTGGGCACAGAGAGGGCTCGAGGGTCTGTGCACGCGCTTCGCCCGTGACAAACAGGACGGCGCCCTGCGTGCCTTGCCCCCCGTTCTGACGCGGCCCGTGCCGGGCCCCTGCGTGTCAGAGCAGCAGCCCTCAGGAGGCTGAGTGCTGACACCCACACTTATAAGGGCGGGGCATGCGTGGAAGGGGAACAACACCACTGACGGTGTTTGTTTCTCAACAGCGAGAACTTTCAAAGGCCTCCAGATCTGACGCTACTTCTCGAGTCCTCAATTCCACCAACCTGCAGTCCTAAGAAGCCCCGATCAGCCCGCTGGCTGTGGCTCCTGTGCCTAGACTGGACCTAGCTGTGCGGGTGGCTTCCATTTTCTCCGCCTCAGGTGTGCTTGGGGCCCCGGGTAGGCGCCATTGCCCCTGGACGGCCTTTCCTACAGGCACAAGTGCATGCTGAGCTTAGCGGACCTTAGACACTATTTTTGGCTCAAGACACATATTAGAAGTAGGCTCACAGCAGTGAGCACAGATTCAGCTCACGGGCCTAACGTTCCCGTCCCCCATCACTGCTCTGGCTGAAGCACATTCGACAACACACATCACGTGATCGCCGTCGGGTGAGAAGATGATGGCCTCCGCCCGCCCCTCAGGGCTGAGGTGGGACACGTGGTGCTTTCCGCACCTGCAGCGAGCAGCTGGCACCTGTTTGGTTTAGGGACTCTCAGCAGTGCCGCGAGGGTGGCTCTGCCCTCACCCAGAGGCCTGTCCGCAGCACGCAGGGCAGCCTTCCTCCTGGTGACAGTGTCCCTGTCGGAGTTGTGATGGCCTGGCCTGCTGCCAGAGGGTGTCAGGGAGGTTGGTGGCCCCTTTGTGAACTGTGTACAGTCACTCTACATGGCGTCAACACGTGCTTGTCTGACTCTAGTCCTTCAGTTTTCTGTGTCCAGCACCCCTCTCCCCACCTTGCCCACCATCACCCCAGGCCCACTGTGCCTGTGTGTGGCCGCCCCCTGCATCTGGCAGCCAGGCCCAGAAGCTGCTGGGGAGACGTAGAACTTTGCACATGTCTGTTGGGGAGTGTTCCCGCTGTAGCTGCCCTGCAGTCACTAGGGTCCTCCGGAAGCGCTGTTATTTATTCCAGCCCCGCCTGCGCTGCCGCCAGCACTACATGTTCCCGCCACCGGGGCGGCCCGTCTGCAGGCGAGCGCCCTGCTGTCTAGCCCTGTGTCCTGTCTTTTAAATCTTCTAAATATAAATATGTTGTTAATAAATTAAAATTTACATATTAAAAAAACTGCGAAGTGTGTTGTCTTCAAGTTTTCCTAAGGTTTTGCTTTGGTCTGTAGAAGAGAAATTCCTGCTCAGGAGTGTAATTTTTTTATAGTGTGTTGTGCGTGTGTAAATAAATGAAGATCACCTTTTCACAGATTAAAAAGGGTTTTGAGAGGGAAAAAAAGGCCTGATATATAACGGGGTGAGTTAATATTAGGAAACGTAGTTTCATTGGTATTTGTCACGAATAGAACTAGGTTTTATAGGGCGAAACTGGCCTTTTATTTTAAAATATAGAGTTAATATTTTTAAAAAATATACATTTAAAAAACATTTCAGTTGTATTTGACATTGGAAATCATTAGTTACAGGTGTACAGTACAATGGTGAGACATTTACATAACCTAGGAAGTGACCCCCCCGGAGAAGAGGAGTAGTGACGCACTATTAGCGGACTCCTGCAGAAGCACGAGAAGCAGACAAACTCTGCCCTGGCTGGTGGGGCTCAGTGGGTTGGGCGCTGGCCGGAGAGCTGAAAGGTCATCAGTTCAATGTCTGGTCAGGGCACATGCCCGGGTTGCAGGCCAGGTTCTCCAGTAGGGGGCATGCAAGAGGCAACCCATCGATGTTTCCCCCTTTCTCCTTCCCTTTCCTCCTCTAAAAAAGTATCCAAAACTGGGAGTGAGGGGGTGGAAGAAGGGGGGGAGGGAAGGGTAGACTAGAAAAAAAAAAAGGATGCTATGATAGGGAGGGGCCGGCAATGGTGCTTCTGGAACCAGGGGGGGAGCTTCACGGGTGTTACCTGTATGAATTTTTACTGCACACTCATTTCGCGCCTGTCCACAGCCATCAGCTCGTCTCTCTCTGCACTGCATACACGTAGGTGTTCCAGGGCCCGCAGCTCACAGCCACTGCCTGGAGCTGCTTATCTACAAAGTATTCCACCCGGCAGGGCCAGTCCCGGCTGGTCGTGTCCCCGTGGCCCAGCTGTCCGTATTTACCTACAGTGAGACCAGACCCTCGGCCACTGTCCCCCCTGGACCCCGGCACCTCTCCCCTCCAGGCAGGAAAACCAGCCACTCTGCAGGGTCTGCTGGGACCTCAGGAGACCAGCCTCCGGGGCAGGCAAGCTGGCCCGGCTGCCCTCGGCGGCAGCCACCAGTCACCCCAGGCCAGCTGCCTCTCAGGCTCCTCACGCCTAAACCCAGACCTCACCACAGGGATTTTCTTTTTATCCTTTTCCCTACCCAGTGCCAGACCAAAAAGTGTTTCATAAATGCTGGCCAAAGCTTCCCTTCAGACAAACGGCTTTTCAGAAAGGCAGAGGGGACCTGAGTGTGCCTAGATTTGCTGTAGAGAAGGGGACAAACACAGCTGTCCGGTCCCGGCCCTCCCACGTGTCAGCGTGTCAGCACGGCCCGTCACCTGCCCTGGGTTCCGGCATCCCCGAGGCGAAGCCCCGACTTACCCCAGCCCCAGGTGTACAGCTCCCCGGCTCCTGCAACCGAGAGGACCGGAAGGGGCCATCACCAGGCTGTCCGACGAGGCGGCTGCCCAGCTTGGCCGGCCACAGCCGGGGCCGGCACACCGCAAGCCGTGAGGTTTGCTTGGCAGAGCCCAGCAGCCCCTCTGTCTCTCTCTGACAACTGTCCAACCACATGTGGGGTGGTGGCTCACCTCCCCATGTGCCACCTGCACCTCACAGCTACTGAGCTGAGGGGTCTTAGCAGCCGGCCGGGGCACGTCGGTGGCTGTGCAGAGGCTGGCCCACCCGGGCCCGCCTCAAGACCCTCTGGGGCCTCAGTGCCCTGTGACACTCGCGGGAGGTTGGGACTCTGTTTCCCAGCGAGGCTGCTACTCAGCATATGTCCCAGACGCCCACAACAGCAGCGTTCTGCGGGACCACACCCTTTTCTGCGCCGCCAGCCAGAGCGGGCAGACCGACGGTCCTGCTCCCCCCTGAACCAGCCTGCCCAGCCACACTCACTCGTCACCACAGCTGTGTGCCGGGACCCACAACTGGCCTTGACCGCTTCCGAGCCCAGGGGGAGGTCCAGTAACGCTGGGAAGGGCTGCAGGGCTATGCAGGGGACAGGGGCTCCGCCCTCATCCCCGGCGGTTCCCGTCACTCCAGGACCACGTCCGCTCAGTCCTGTGGCTTCAGAGAAGCAGTGAGCCTGATGACCACGGCAGCGGCCATCACTCCCTGAGCTGCCCACACCGACTAATGCAAGGCCCTACGGAGCACAGTGCCTGCTGTCTAGCCCCCAAGCTGGTGCCGCCAGCCCTCTCTCCCTGGGAAGGGCTGGGGTGGACAGGTGTGTGGGCGCCAGCCTTGCCACGCTCCCTCCCAGAAGGGGTTTCTGTGGTGTGTCCTGGGGTCCCAAGCATGTCGCACGTCCCTTTTAGACACTGAGAGCCACAGGCTGACCTGTGGCCGGGAGTCAGGAATGACAGAAAAGTGTGCAAGTCCAGAGTTGAGACTCACTGTCCCCCGTGACTGTCTCTCTGTCCTCCGCCAGGCTCCTGGTGGGCAGGGCCAGCTGCCCCGATTCATTCCAGCCCCAGGTATAAACGTCCCCAGTCTCTGAAAGGGACATAAAGGAAGCCCATTAAGCAGACTGTGACCCTCTCTGCCTCCTAAGCCCCTTGCATGTCTCCCAACTGCCCTGCACCCAACTTGCATCCTGGGCACCTGAGGCCAGCCCTGCGCAAGGCAGCACTGCGGGGACAGAGCGCCTCCCCAGGCACCCGGCAGCGTCCTTGTCCTTGTCTTAGCAGGTTCCCCCCCTCCCCAAAGTACCTTTGGGTCATCTTTGTCACTGAAGGAAGTCTCTTGCTGGACTTCCTCTCTTTTCCCTCCGTTGCTCAGTTGCCCCTCCCACTCCCACCACACACATGCACACGCTTCAGAAGGGTGTCCCTGGAAGTCCTCCCGTGGTCCCCACTCAAATCCCAAGTCCGCTTCTGAAGCCCCACTCCCCCCCACCCCCGCCACAAGTCCCGTGGAAGCCTCTCCCTGAAGCCTCCAGCGACCTCACCCCTGACGCACGGTCTGGGGTTGGAGCAGCGGCTGCAACACTGGAAACTCACTACTGGCTGATCATTGCCGAGTGCTCTCACCTGCGCCGGTGTCGCAAGCACCGCTCCCACGAACCCACTGTGCACAGCGCTCCCGTCTCGGTCACGAGAGAGCCTGTGGCACAGAGAGCTGGCGCGTGCGGCAGAAGCTCACAACGCACAGGGCGCCAATCTGAACCTGCAGGTCGGGTTTGGGGCACCTGGGCTCCACCACGACACCGAACCACCAAACTGAAGGCCTCCAATTCCCCCTGGACCCTCGGTGCGGGGCGCGCTGCTGGCCTGTTTCCAGCGTCCCCTCTGTTCTCCGTGGCCCAGTCGCCCTTGACGGAGCCCGTCTGCCACAGCGCCCGTGCGTTCAGTGGGACCGGGGAGGAGGCAGTTTCCCCGCAACGGAAGCAGCAGCCAGAACTCCTGCAGAGTCATCGGCCGCCTGCCGGGCACACGACTCAAAGTGACACTCCCCCTCGTGGCCCCAGGTCCCCCACCAGCAGGACCCACACTCACCACCTTCACGCTCCCTGTGGGCCACACGTCATGACCACCTAGACACCTGCAGCCACTTCCTCCACTCCCCTCGGCCCGGCTGCCCCTCGGCCCTTCACCCTTGCTCAGCAGGGGTTTGGAAACACACAGCTGCGGCCCGAGGCAGGTGGTGAGACCAGTAACAGGAGCGAGTGGCCTCGGAGCTCAGTACCAGAGGCTGTCACGAGGGGTCACGAATGACCGGCGTGGAACCAGCTCCGAAGGAGGCCTGGCTATGCCCCACCCCCACCCACACCCCCATCCCCAGAACTGCAAGAGGAGAAGGTTTGGAGCCTCCAAGATCGAGCTTCTCTGCAGAAACACCAGCCACTCACCGCTCACACACACGGAGTGCCAGCCACCGGCGGCCACCTCAGCCATGGGCAGCCCCTGCAGCGCCTCCAACAGCCGGGGCTCCGGCTCTGCCTCCAGAGTCCCGTGGCCCAGCTGTCCATGCCTGAGCAAGGGAACCGCTGGTCAGCTCGTCACACCAGGGGGTGTCCCTGTCCCTCCTTCCGCGGTCACACTCACCTGCCCCCGCCCCAGGAGTACACCTGGCCAGCCTCGTCCAGCAGCAACGCGTGCTCGGTGCCAAGCTCCAGCCGACGTGCCCGCAGCTCCGGGGCCAGGGGCCGGTACAGGGGCGGCAGCGGGCTCACGTAGGCGCGGGCGCCGGGCAGCAGCGGCAGAGGCCGGGCCCGGGTACCGTCGCCCTCTCCGTCTTCCCCGTCTTCCCGCTGAGCCTCCAGCACCACGGTCTGGGCCCAGAGGGGCTCCCCACACAGCGCCGAGCCGGGCGCCCAGGCCTGCAGCTCAGCCCCAGACCCAGGTCCCCGCCCGTCGCGCAGCACCACGAGTAGCGTCTCTGAGGCCCAGGCGTCCCGACAGCCCTCCGCCGCGCCACGGGCCGAGCCGGACAGCTGCACCTGGCCTGCACCTGCGGGAGCGGGGAGCCAGCTGAGCAGGAGGCGGGGACAAGTGGGGGCGGGGCCGGGAGGGATTGGGCCAGGGCGCTCACGGCTCAAGAACGCGGTGTAGCTCCAGCTGGCGCTCACGCCGCAGACGTCTGCGTCTGTGCCCGGAGCGCGCAGTGGCTCGGGGCTGTGCACCTGCCGCCCGCGGCCCGAGCCCAGCGCCTGCCCGAAGCCGCAGAAACCGAAGCCGAACCAGGACCCGCGGCGCTCCTCGGCCATGCCCTCGCAGCGCCCTCTGCCGGCCGCCAGCGGCCTCGCCTGTAAGATGGGGAAGTTCCGGTCTCCAAACCAGAGAGCCCGGCGATATCCTCCCACAGGGTTCGCTGAGCGGGAGCCTGGGATGAAGTCCTACCAGATTTAGGACAATTCGGGACTGTCTAGGCTGGGGCAGTTTCCCTGTCCTCCTTTTGGACTCAGGCAAGCTCAGCGCCCCTCGAACTGGGCACTTCATCCCACGAAATGTTGGGAACAATTGTCGCCATTGGACAGAGAGAGTAACCGTTACACAATCTCACAGCTCGGGGCAGAGGGCGGAACCCCAGGGAGACGGTGACGGGTGATCCCCAGCTCCAGGGTTCCCCTTTGCTTCTGCAGCTAGCGGGGCCTTGCGTCCTCAGCTAATTCACTTCAGCGCTCAATTCAGTTTCTTCAGTTTGACAAAGATGGAAGTAAGGGAGTGAGAAAGTCGTTCGCAAGGCCTGCGCCTCGGGTGAGGCGCCCATTGGCTGCCGCAGCCGCCCGGGGCCAATGGCCCGCGAGGGTGGCGGCTGCGTCACGGCGCCGGCGGCCGCACGCCGAAGCTCACCGCGGTACTGGCGGTCTTCGCAGCGGCCGGTCCAGTCCAGGTTCCGTGGAGCTGGTGCCGAGGCGGAGGCAGTACCACTGCGGCCCCGGGTGCCCAGTGTACGACCCTCCGGCGGGCGTGGGTCCGCGGCGCTCGGGTGAGACGCCGGTGGGACAACACTCCCTGGAGAGTCAAGGCAAAGCGACAGCGAACAGCCACCCCTCACACCTCCCACCGCGCCACTCTGCGACCCCACCGGAAGCTGCCTCGGCAGCCCTCCCTCCCATTGGCTTGGAATCTGTCATCCATCTCTTCGACCCAATGAGTTGCAGACGCTGGCTCGGCCTGCCTCCCAGCGGAACCAGGAGGCGGGGCCACCCAAGCTTGGCTCCCACGCGGCTGAGGTAAGGAAGAGCTGGGCCGGCGGCACACCCACCCCGACAGGCAGCGGGAGTGGTCACTGAAACTCTCAATACAAAGTACTGAAGGACCAGCACCGAGCAGTCTGTACCCTAAACCCGTTCGTTTATTAACTTTCTACGCTTAACCCCTGAGTCTCCAAAGGGCCTGAGCAGCGACTCAGTGCCTTGGGTGCGGAATCCGTGGGATTCCTTACTAGAGGTGGTACCACTGCGCGCGCGGGCACACAGTTCCTGCTCCAGGGGCTGACCCCCCGCCAGCCTTCCCCCAGGTCACAGACAGGGCACACATCTGAGTTCCACACACTTTATTATTAGAGGGTCAGGGGCGGTCCCGCTAGCAGGCTTGGGTGACGCTCACTGCTGGTGAAGCTGCTGGACGTGCCCTTCCCCTGCTGGTGAGGCTGCTCCAGGCGCCCTTCCCCTGCCCGGGGCTGAGTGAGAAGGGCCTAACCCTTTGCAGCCGTCCATACAGTAGTACAGGAAAGCCCCGCTGCGTGAGGCTGCAGGCAGCGCTGGCAGTGCAGGGCTGTGGTGAGCGTGGCCCTGACTCGGGACACACATCAGAGGGCAGCTGGGGAGACGAGGCCCCGCAGCCCAACCCCAGGCCCCCAAAGCTGCGTGTCCTTGTTCCTGTGCTGTGAGGCGCAGTGTGCATGAGAGTGCGAGAGCCCCTCACTGTCCATCCTGGTTGGGCTTGATGAGCCCATACTCCACCGCTTTCCCCAGGCAGGCCGCGGCCGCCCTCGTGACAGGGCCCTCCTTGCCCTTGGCCAGCACCGACAGGATCTCCAGCACCTCGCTCTCCATCAGGGTGCTGGCGGTCTCTCGGGAGGCCTCCACCATGTTCAGCACCACCACGGCACCCCGGTGCTGCAGCTCCTGGTTGGGGCTGAGGAGCAGAGCCTGCAGGATCTCTAGCCAGTGGGTGGTCTGCAGGAAATGGGGCGGTGTGAACACAGAGCCACAGGTTGGACCCTGGCAGGGGCCACACCGACCTGCCCTGCAAATGCCCCGCCAATGGCCACCATGCTGGGGGGTCCTGGCCCGCCACCCCTCCCCTGTAGAGAAGAGGCACTGACCACTTGGGGGATGCGGTGGCAGAGAGAGGGCCGCATGGAGGTGAGCATGGCCAGGCCCCCGGCGGCCGCCCGCCGTAGCAGCTCGTCGTCCTCCCCGCTGTACAGCACCAGCAGCTTCAGCCGGTCATTGCCCTCGGCCTCAAAGAGGTCCTGCACCTGCGGCCGGATGACGGAGCCCGGGTCAGCCGAGGCGAGGCCCGCCCAGCACGCCGGCCCGCACGCCGGCCCCGACCAGCCCTCACCTCCTTGCTCATGGCCAAGTTACACATGCACTCTGTGGCCGCCCGGCGGATCATCTCGTGGTCCTCAAACATGTAGCCCTCGATCATGGGCACGGCCTTCTCCTTCAGGATCTTCTGCCTGCGGAGCAGTGGGGGCAGCACCGTCAGAGCCTCCACCGCCGGTCCCCGCACAGTCCACCCCTGGGCTATGTCCACGGAGCCGCCCGCACCAGGGGTGAACGGCACTGGTTTCCGGCCTTCCAGCCGGGCCCAGGAGGTGACATGGGACCATGGGAGACGCTCTGAGCTACGGGTTAGGAGACGAGGGTGGCGTGATGGCGATGCTAAACCTACCATCTGAGCTCTTACCTGACCCAGTCCGCACACCATCTGCCTTCACACCGCACCCCCTGACCCTGGCCCAGCAGAAGGCGCAGGCGTGATTATCGGGACTGTTCTGTAGCAGAGGCAGCCACGGCTGCGGACTGCACCATGCCGCCACGGTCGTGATCAGTAACAGCCGCTACTACGTACTGACTGGGCACATCGCTGGGAGCCGGGCACCTTTGTACCAAGTGCTTTTACATGTATTTTCTCACTTAATTCTCCTCACCACAAATCCACTTCACGGGGGAAACTGAGGCATGACATGATTAATTAACTTGCTTAAGGTCACACACTGGTAACCAGAGAGGCCAGGCTTCAAACCCTGGCAGTCTGACTCCGAGCCTACACTGCTGTGGCCGGGGCCTTCTCCTCCCGGGACTGTCCCCTCAGCTGTGTGAGGCACAGGGATCCCGAACAGGACAGCGAGCGGACAGTGCTTCCCAGGCTGTGAGGGACTTCACGGGGAAAATCTAACCCCCGATGCCCCGCCCAGGCCCCCACCCCCAGACATCTTACCGGAGCCTCTCACCGATCCCCGCCAGGTTCGTCAGCGCCATGAGCGCCTCGAAGTTCTGCAGGCCGGAGCAGTGGAGGTGCAGCAGGGAGACCAGGGGCCGGACCACCTCGTAGATCTGTGACACGCACCCCACCCATCAGGGCTGCGCACCCCGACCACGTAGGTGGCGGCCCACCCCCAGCAGAGGCTGCCCTCCCTATCCAGGAGCTCAGCAAAGCTGCCGCTCCCTGTGAGTCCCAAGATGGAGCCAGAGCCCCGGCGAGAGGCCCCAGGGCCCAGTGAGGGGGTGGAGGAGCGGCCCGGGCTGGAGCAGGCAGACACGACACGCACCCGCTCGCCAGGAAACGTCATCTCCGGGTCGGAAGTGATGGTGAGCTTGGCGAGGGCCTGGGCTGCCTTCGTCTGCCCCACGTCGGTGCCCTCCAGGGCCAGCGGGAGCAGGGCCTGCGGGGACAGGCCCTTTGGTGAACGCGGTGGGCCCGGGAGCGGCAGGCCCCGACTGTGCTGCCCTCGCCATGCTCCCCTCCCCCCGGCCTGAAGACTGGGGGGCTCGGACCCTGCTCCCCTCTCCGGGGTCTCCCACGAAGCTATGCAAACACTTCCCAGAACACCCTTTAAGGCCTAGACGCTGGCTGTGCGGGGCTCTGGGCTTTGGAGGCGGAGACACAGGGAAAAGAGGAGAAGGCAGGACCCAAACAGGAGCCCGCCCCGGTCACCATCGGTCAGGCAGCAGGAAGACGGCTTTCCTGGCCACGAATGATGCCTTTCTGTTCCACAGCTATGCCAACTGCCAGCATGGCAGCCAGCGAGGTGTGCTTCAGAGCCCAGGAAGGAGCCTGCCGACGAGCTCACCTTGCCCCCTCCCTGTGCCACCACAGTGCCGCGGTCCTCCGCCTCCTCCACCAGAGCCAGGAAGACCCTGCGGGAAGAAGGCAGTGCCGGTGGGCGGGCCCGGGGCTCAGGACAGGAGGGCAGCTCCCTCGGTGCAACGCAGGCTCACCTGGACAGCAGCTCCCTGCAGGAGTTGGTCAGCACGGGGCTCTCGGTCTTCACCATGCACGTCATGGCTGACACCACGCCCGCGGCCAGCAGCTTCCTGACCCGAGCCCGCACGAAACTCGGCTTGTCCTGGGGAGGGAGGCAGCTCAGCTCGCTCGACAGGGAATGGGGACCCTCACACAGCACGACTCGGCGCACAGGGAAACGAAGGGAGGGAAGCCCACTCAAATGAAAGGCCTGCCTGCCACGGATGCCCCAGATCAACGGGCCCCGCTGACGCAAGAGCCCCGGCCCCTCACACAGCTGCCTCACCTTGGGGTGCTGCTCGGGCACGTGCTGCTTGGCGTACTTGGCCAGCTCCACCATCTTGGGGTCGGGCTCCTCGTAGTCGTAGCTGTTGGTGCAGTTCACGAGCGCCGAGGCCACGGCAAAGAGTACCGACCTCTCTTCCGACTGCAGGAGCAGAGGGCGGGCAGAGTAGCACTGAAATCCATGTGACTGAGGCCCGGGCCCCCCAGTTGTGCCCCTGGTGGGACCACCTGAGCCCCGGATGAGCCTGGGAACTCCCCCAGCCCCCAGGCCGGCCCCAGGCTTTAAGAGCTCACACGCCTGACCCCTCCCCCCGACCCCTCTAGAGAGGTCATCCTTTCCGACACTGCTGCTGTGTGTGGGCCAGTGTGCCCATGCCACACAGTGTGGCCACTCAGGCGACCCGCCCGCCCTCCGTGGGGCCCGAGAGCCGTCGGCCAAGGTGTGCCGGGAGAGCCCGGTGGGTCAGACCGGCTGCACCGCCCGTGCGGATACCCGGCTGAGCTGGAACAGAGCCTTCAGGGCGGCCTCGTCCTCCACGAGCTCCTCCTTCACGTCGGCGTCGAAGGTGAGGTAGGCCAGGCCCTCCACCGCCCAGCGCCGCGTGCCCGCATCGATCTGGTCGTTGCAGAGCCACCTGGGGGCAAGCGGGGCAGCGGGCAGCCCTCAGATGGGGGCGAGAAGGGGCAGGCCGGGGCCCGGGGGGGACGCCAGGGGCTCGATCCGCTCCAAACAGTGAAGCCGTTCCCAGGGTCTGCCTGGGGGTGGGCAGGGCAGTGAGGAGGCCCCGCCCTCTCACGGCCCCTACTCTCCGGAGGCCAGGCCAGGAGGCGGGAGCCAGAGCAGCGCCAGCAACTCACTTTCGACACTGCTTGGCCAGCTTGAGAGTGGAGCCCTCAGCAAACTGCTTCATGCTGAAGTCGGTCCCGCCGGCCGAGCCGAGTTTACAGAGTCCCTGGAAGAAGCAGCGAGGACCCGCTGTGGCCCCTGGGGACGAGGCGGAGCTGGGCCCCTCCCCGGCACTCTTCCAGGCCACTCTCTGGAGCATTTGGTAGCACAATGCAATGCTGGGGTGTCCACACGACACAGGACCTAGTTAGAGACTGGCTCATGGGCCGCTGTGCGGTCCTGGGCCCCAACCCCTCCCGATCCAGCCTGGGATTTGCTGTTTCCTTGACACGTCAGACAACGAGAAAAGACTCTCTACAGGAGAAGCTAGGACATGTATGGGGACAAGACAGGTGCGTCAGCCATGGTCAAGATCCTCACCGGATGAAGCAGCCCAGGACCGAGTGCCTGGGGGGAACCAGTCTCCCCGAGGTGCATGGTGGCAGTAGGCTCAGGCAGGGCAGAGGCCCCCAAACCCCCAGCTCCTGGGGCCGCCCACAGGCCCTGCCTTTCCATGTGGCCCTTCTCACCGGCCTGGCCCAACGGGTCCTCCAAACTCATCGCCTCCTCCTAAAGCTCCTCCCAGTGCCTCCAGGGGGCAGCGTGTGTGGCCTGCACGCCTAGGTGTGCTCTCTGCATAGGGCCCCTCTGCCAGATGTGGCCCTGACAGGCCTGGCCCTGGCCGGGCAAAGCCCTGCGCACCCCGTGTCCTT